TTCTCAACGACAACACCTCATCGTTACTAATGGTGGGCCTCAATCATAACCTGTTTGCTTGGCGTTTCCCTCAGTGGTCTTAGACATTAAAAACATATTGACTTCCCATTCCTAATGTGAGCTTCCTTCAAAATAAATTCTACATGATCTCCTGCTCTCATTTTGCTTGTAACAGTGCTTTCACTATAATTCACAGGACAATAAAAGTTATAGAAATTAAGTCTGGTGCGCATATAACAAGCAAGGCTACTTGTTTTTATTAAGTTCCTAAGAACTCACCCTATTTACTCATGCTTAATAACTTAAGGGGGGGAGAGAATGTATAACAGAAAATAAATGAATATTTTCTACTTAGCTAAATCAGTAGGGCATGGGACTCTTAATCTCAGGTTGTGGGTTTGAGCCCCATGTTGGGTAAAATATTCGTGTATTGCAGGGGGGTGGACTAGATGACCCACGTGGTCCCTTCTATACCATTCTATGATACTATGAGACAAATCAAAATCTACCTGAATGTTGAAAATAGAAGATATGGATAAACCAGGGCGGGAGAGGGAGGGACAGAATTAACCAACAATCCTGAATTATCATTATTTTCCAAAGATGTGTTTGTAATAACGATGTGCTATTTTAGATCATCCCAGAGCGGGCTGCATGGTTTGTGACAAACATCTATTTAGAGCAATCACCTTCTGATTCAATCAGACAAGCAACCAATAAGTGTTATTGTCCCAAAGCAGGTAATTAGAGCCATAAGATGGTGAGCATATTGAGCTCTGATAGTACCAATCATCTGCCCTATCAAATGTGCTCCCTTGGACCCAAACTGGTATGGTCCATTCCACACACAACCCTAGGTGTAGACAGATGCCACCACTCCAATCCTGCACTGCAAATTTTTGTGCCCAAAGGACCTGATCCTTGGACTGGAAGCCTCCGTCCATCTGCAGATTGCTTTTGCTAAGCTAAGATGAGTTCTTAGAAGAGGTATTTTAAGATTTCTCAAATACACCATATCTGAAACTACTAACTGACCTGAAGCACAATAGATCTGAATCAAGCAGACCTAGAGAAACATGTGGGCATTAGAAAGTTTGAATAAAAGTGTTGTGCTTAGGTATGCTGTCCGTGTTCTGTTACAAATAAAAGTCCTAGTAGAAGAGATGGAACTGCTACATTGGAGAACATTCAAGATTAGTCATACTTAAGTGACGTCGACCGATCTCAATGGGTCTACTCTTGAGTAGGGCTAAACTACATATCATCTATTGTAATTAAATAGCTGTATCTCGAATATTAAAACTAGGCTTTTCTGACAAAGTTAAGATGTAAAATATAAACAAAAATATGCTGTAAAATAGAAACATTTCCCCTTTACTCTTTGATTATAAACATTCACAGATTCCAAAAATAAAACCCCCAATTTTGTAGGACTTTTTCAAGTAACATTCGATTCATTGTTATTATAAGTAATTCTTGGTACTGTGACTAAGGCATTATTACAGCATAAAGCAACATCAAAAGGAAGACTTATGCCAGCGTGTCCAGAAGGGAAAATAAAGCAATGGGGAAAAGGTGGCTGTGGATTTTGTGCTCTTGTTAGTGAGCTCAAATATACTGCTTTCGGCCTCTAACAGGTAGAGAGAGGGGGGAAATGTCAGGCCTGGCTTTAAAAAAATATACTCCCTAAGAAGATAAAATATGTTTCAGAAAAAGAGATGAGGATGGCGGATGGCTGAACGTCATTTGAGAGAATGTCAAAGGACCAAAATGCTGGCTAATGCTTTTCCGTTGATAAAGACGTCAGCGCAGTCTGGGAAAATAAGAAAGTTAATATAAATGGGAACACTATTTGCAATGCTCAACACATGGGCTTGTGACAAGGTTCTGTCTGGAGCAATCGTCTTTTGATCTGATTGGGAGAGCAAGGAGCAATTTTTATTGTCCCAAAGCAGATAACCAGAGCCACAGAAGACGAATAGATCCCCAATTAAACACCCATATCCTATGTGGCTTTAAGTCCCAACCCTGCAAATTTCTGAGATCAGTTTGAAATCTCCTCCTGGGCATACCTTTCACACATTTCCCCTCAATTAAGGCTTTAGGCAGGAAAACCAGTGAAGGCATATTTAAGGACTGGCCCTATTAAAGGCAGCATTTTGGCACAGACTCCATTATCACTGGACTTTATTGGTCATTGCAACCAATTCCAAGAGAATGTTTAAGGGGCAGGCAGAAACCAGTTTCATCATAAAAGCAGACCGGTTTGGTGTATTTGCCCATTTTTAAAAGGCAGATGCAGATTAAACCCATTTTAAGGCAATGCTGTTCGTTTGATGGAACCATACATTTCAAAGTTGAACGGTGGCTGTGGAAAATGTGGGATTGTTCTGGAAAGAGAGCAGCTAGCTTGAAAAGGTGAAGCTCTACACATTGGAGCCTTGAGAAAGACAGCGCTTCCTTTCCATCAGTTCCCTGCCTGAAACTTCAAAAGGTTAAAAGGGCAGGTGGATGTTTAGCAGAAAGAGCCAGTGGGAATGCAAGTCCTCTTTGGGGTCACTCTCATGCCAAACCTCCCATACAGCTTTTCAAATGTGGGTTTTACAAGCAGCACTTAAAAATGAATGAATAATTTGCCTTTTAAAGGTATCTTTTGCTGAAGGAAATTCTTATTTCCTTTCTCCCAGTCACAAAGGAGGATGCATATGCCTTGGATGCAATTTGGAAGAGGCTATAAACTACACATCGGGGTCTATATTATCCCCTTAACGGGTTTTTTTTAAAATCCCAAATGTCTCTTGAGCCAAATGCTATCCAAGGGAAGCAGAATCAGAAGGGGCAGGGGGAATAACAGGAGACACCCAGTCAACATAGCAGAAATTTGATGGCAGCACTAACTCTTTGATTAGTGCAGTTGCTAACCTAGGTAAAGGTAAAGGGACCCCTGACCATTAGGTCCAGGAGTGGCCGACTCTGGGGTTGAAGCGCTCATCTCACTTTATTGGCCGAGGGAGCCGGCGTTTGTCCGCAGACAGCTTCCGGATCGTGTGGCCAGCATGACTAAGCCGCTTCTGGCGAACCAGAGCAGCACACGGAAACGCCGTTTACCTTCCCGCTGGAGCGGTACCTATTTATCTACTTGCACTTTGACGTGCTTTCGAACCACTAGGTTGGCAGGAGCAGGGACCGAGCAACGGGAGCTCACCCCGTCGCGGGGATTCAAACCGCCGACCTTCTGATCGGCAAGCCCTAGGCTCTGTGGTTTACCCCACAGCGCCACCTGCGTCCCTAGTTGATAACCTAGGCATGTGCTTTTAACTTCTTGTTCTTTTGCAGAATCACCTTTTCCTTAAGCATCCAATTATATGCAGGAGGGGGTAGGAGAACTTTGTGACCTTCTAGGAGTTGTTGGGACTACAGCTACTGCCATTTCTGACCACTGGCCACGCTGGCTGGGGCTGATGGGAATTTAGGTTCAACAGCATCCCAAGGGACCACAGGACCCCCACTCCTGATGTAGGCTTCAGAGTGTTTAGAGTGCTTCACACTCATTTCTGTACTGGAGCCCTTTCGTTTTTACTTTTCTGTGTTTAGCTGGAAGTGAAGGTTCCACACAGTATTTAATCCAGAACTGTATTACCAACCACGCTCTCCTCAATGGCCAAGAGTCTTCTGTAGTGTTTATCCATGAGCAAGTTTCATTCAATAAAAGGTGCTCAACCAAGTTAATGGAAAGTTTCTTATGCACAGGTCTGCCTGTTTGTTTGATCTTTTGGAGGGGAATAGAGATGAACATTAGTTGCTCCAATGGTGCTTTCCATTCTTTGGGGAGGGCAGAATAAGGGGAAATAAATGGGCGTTAGGAAGCTCTGTGTATCTGCCCCCTCACCCTTTTTATGGTAGAAGTTCTAGCTCACCCATAGCTTCATACAGGAGAAGTGGCTTCATGAAGGGATCAGCTTTTGTCAAATTTTACCAGGTTCAAGGAAGCAATGAGCATGGATCTGCTGTTGAACAAAACAGACTGCTGCCCAGAATTGCTCGCGTGCAGTTGTGTTTCAGGCAACCACCCACAACACTACCCAAGAGAGAATGCTAAAAACCAGCGCCAAAATTCTCTGCAGACCCGCCCTGTGGCTGCTCTCGGGGGTCCCTTGTGCAGAGCAATGGTCGTAAAACAGTGACAAGTTATTACAAAGATAGGCATGCCCAAAGGAAGGAAGGAAGCAAGCAACCCAAAGGGCTGCAACACCCTGCCTTCTCCTTGCATACAAATTAATCTACTTTTGAAAGAAGTACCGTATTTTTCGCTCTATAACACGCACCAGACCATAACGCGCATGTAGTTTTTAGAGGAGGAAAACAAGAAAAAAAATATTCTAAACGAAACAGTGGATATATAATTTTTGTGGTTCATGCTGTGGCCACAGACATGTGATCTGACAGTGAGTTTGGAGTAGCCCAATGCAAAAATCCTGAGGATCCATGTGGATCCATGCTTTGTAACCACGTTTTTGCACCACTGCGGCCCCAGGCAACAGTGGGTGCATGATTTTTTTGGTGCAAGATGTAGCCATGGACATGCTATGTGATCTGATGGTGAATTTGGGGTGACCCAGTGCAAAATTCCTGAGGATCCATGTGGATCCGTGCTTTGTAACCACGTTTTAAGTGGGGAAGGAAGGAAAAGCACTCAAGGGACAAGGAACACGCGTGGGGTGGGTGGAGAAGGATGCTGCTAATAATGAAGAAGAGGGGTATATGGGGAGAAGGCTCCTCTCCTCTCCCGCTTTGCTCCTTTAAAGCAAGCAGGCTCTCTGTCCCTCTCTCCTCCCCACTCCGCGGCTCTTCTCCCGCTTTGCTGTTTCAAAGCGAGCCACGGAGGAGGGAAGGAAGGGGAACCATGGATCCTCTGCTCACGACTGCAGCAGATCCCCTCCACCACCCGCAGGCATTCGCTCCATAACACGCACAGACATTTCCCCTTACTTTCTAGGAGGAAAAAAGTGAGTGTTATGGTGCAAAAAATACGGTAATAATATTAAATTACAATTTCCACAGCAGGCAGCCGATTTCTCTCTCTCTCTCCCGCTTGTTTTGTAAGAGGCTGAGCACTTTTGTATCAACCCTCGGTTGCCAGGTAACCGTACTTTAATGATTCATTTGGTTTCTGACTAGCTGTTCTTTTTCACTTTTTTCAAGTGGGACAAAAATGCATGGTATATCATCAATTGAGTTTGGTATCGTCATTTCTAAGACCTCAGACATACGCCCACCTGGAATGTTTGTATCCTCCCAGAATAATTCCCTCCCCCTCACAATTGTCCCTTTTTGACTAATTGAAAGATCAGTGTCCTGTTTTGCTGTATTCGTCTCAAATGGCATGGTTTGGAACAGGAAAGTGAAGCTGGATAAGACAGTAGAAAGGAGAACCAGACCAGAAGCAGGGCAGTGAGGTCATCAAGAACAGCTCCTTCACCACCACCCCTGCCAAAAACAACAACACCCCGGCTTGATTAAATATACCAGCAGCTGAAAATCATTCCACATCAGAAGCATCATTGTCAGAAAGATGGTAATTACTTCCCTTCACCCGGATATATTCAATATACCTCCCGTCATCTGAATCTGAAATGCCACATGTACACAGTGAGTTCTCAAATAAGCATTCAATTTCCTCCAGTTTCTTCCCTTTCGTCTCAGGAAGGCAGCCGTAGAGGAAAATGAGTCCCACAAAAGCAAATCCCGCATAAAGGAAGAATGCTCCTGCAATACAAACAAACAAACAAATAAACAACCCCCCAGACACAGAGTTAATAGAAAGTTTTCCTCTAAAACAAAATACAAGGTCACAACAATAAAAGATCTACTATATATCTTAGCAAAGTTAAAATGAAGGTTTCAGAAACAAATAATTATTTTAATATGCATTCAAATAATTATATTGGTCAAGATTCCAAACATTTGTTTGATTTTTGCAAAACCATGATGGCATCCCAATAACACTCAAATCTCATTTAAAATTTACTTAGTAAAGAGACTTCCTAAAGAATGCAAGTTACCACAGAGAGAGACTGGGGGAACTCAGTAATATGGGTTTTTGGGAAAAGGGCAAAGCTATCAGCTAGATTATGGGACGTGGGTGGCGCTGTGGGTTAAACCACAGAGCCTAGGACTTGCCGATCAGAAGGTCGGCGGTTCGAATCCCCGCGACGGGGTGAGCTCCCATTGCTCGGCCCCTGCTCCTGCCAACCTAGCAGTTCGAAAGCATGTCAAAGTGCAATTAGATAAATAGGTACCACTCCGGCGGGAAGGTAAATGGCGTTTCCGTGCGCTGCTCTGGTTCGCCAGAAGTGGCTTAGTCATGCTGGCCACATGACCCGGAAGCTGTACGCCGGCTCCCTCGGCCAATAAAGCGAGATCAGAGGTCCCTTTACCTTTACCTTTATCAGCTAGATTACAAGCAGCATGACTTGAAGGACTCAGGAATGTGTCCCCAGACACGTCCTGGCATCATGGTGAAGCTGGCAAGGCTGCCCTGTCAATGGTGGTAACTGCTGAGTCTCCACACCAGGCCCTGGATGCCACCTTAGTTTTCCTAAAGTGCAATGTCCCAGATTTTCCACTCTTCCATGCCAACATGGGTTTTTGTCACCACAATGTCACACAGCCAAGCATTACGTTTTGGGAGAGCTAGAATTTATGGGTACAAGCACAACTGTTGGGGAACCAACAGAGAGCATGTGGCCAAGGGCCTCTCAACCCTGAAACTGGCCCAGGATGACTCAGTGATGGGTGGCCCTGTCCTTAAAGCCAAATGGTTAAAAAATGTAAAACATCTACTACTTGGAAGTTTAACTACTCACAAACCACCGAAAGCACTAATACAGCTTTGGGAATGCTTTTTAGAAACAGAACTTAGCAACACGAAGTCTTGAAATGAGGATATATACACAAGTTTTCTTGAGGCCTTTAGAAAGGAAAGCTAAACTGCCCATCGAGACCTTAGCTGATGAAAAGCTAAAATTCCAAGGATCTTAAACGCAATGATCTTGGTACTATTTAAGACAGAACACACTTCTTACCATAGTACGTCAGATATTCAGCTGTGTGCAGAAATGTAAGTGACACTAGGACATTGAAAATCCAGTTCACGCCGGAAGAACAGGCATTTCCTGTACTTCTAGCCCAAAGGGGGTATATTTCAGAATTTACTGTCCATGGCATTGGTCCCATTCCTTTTAAAAGAAACATGCCACAAAATTAATATTAATAAACATTCACATCAAATTCCAAAGGATCTTCAAAAATGGGATGTGGTACAAACAGAATGTTGGAACAGTAATATTTTACTTCAGTAGAAAGCCGCCATATGAGGAAAAATTAAGTTACTCAGAGATCTAAATCTTGGGGGGGGGGGATATTATTCAGTACACACTAGTGTTTGTTGGGAGTGACAGAAGGAAATGGAGATTGAAGAATACTGTACCTAACTGTGGATCTAATGAAGGGATACTTTTGGGAAGAGGAAGGCGGAAGTCAACCTGTTTTTATAGATGCATAGATGGAGGTATTCCAACCATTATTGTATGTATGTATGGCTTAGAAAGATGACTCTTTATTGTACCTATTTCTGTAGTTCAGAAAATTGTCATTTGCACAGAATTATTTAAGTACAGTGGTACCTTGGTTTAAGAACAGCTTAGTTTATGAACAACTTGGATTAAGAACACTGCAAACCTGGAAGTAGGTGTTTTGGTTTGTGAACTTTGCCTTGGAAGCAGAACATGTTTCGCTTCCTGTTGAGTGTGTTCCATTTGTAAATTGAGTCCCCCACTGCTATGGGAAAGCACGCCTTGGTTTAAGAACACTTTGGTTTAAGAACGGACTTCCGGAACGGATTAAGTTCGTAAACCAAGGTACCACTGTAGTTAAATGTTTGCTCCTACAATGCTAAAAGGACTAACTCTTCAACACACTGACACTCGGCACATGGAGCTGATAGTTTTAGCAAGAAGAATATACGAAGGATATTGAAACTGGCAAGGGCATCAAGAAAAGCAAAGAGATACGTGGGCTTTTGGGGGATTATTTTAAGTAAAGGAATGAGGTATGGAATGTGTTAACAATATGCAGAAATGGCAGGAGAATGTAGCCTTAATCCCCCTCCTTTGATTTTTCATTGCTATTTAAAATCAAGGAAGTGAACAGCAACATTAAGGGAACTGGAAAAGGGGGAGAAATTCCTGTAACACTGGGGGGGGAAAATACGAAAAATTAAAAAGGTATAGTAAAACAAAGGCCGAGTAGCAAGATGATATTAATCATTATTGCAAAGGTCAATCTGTTGAGTTGTTACATTCCAGGAGAGTTCCTGATCCAATATGAGCCTGAGGCTCTCACACGGACGTCTTTCTTGGGGGGGGGGGGAGTAATGAGTGAGTGAACTGGGTTATACCAGTTATTTGAAAGCAATATCTCCCTGCCCACTCTTGTCAGAGAACAGAGGTTCTCAATCCGGTGGCCAAGGAGACAGTGTGTTCAAATAAAGGCAAGAGAGGCAGTTCGCTCATCATTTTCTCCTCAAAGTGAGGCAGGCACACAAATATGTCTAAGACTTTTATCAGTCCTAGAATTTTTCCTGGAATAAAGCAGCTCCACAGGTCCAATTTATTTCACATGACAACTAAACACGCCAAATCTGTTTACCTGGTGCAAAGAAAACCAGGTATAAAATAAGTCCCACAAGCGCTGTCCAAGAATATGGTGTAGGGCAGAAGTTATATGCCCAATATGTCTCTTCAGTTTTGAGTCTGGTCTCATTTGAACATCTGCAAGATAGCCAGCATATAAAACAAAGGTTTAAAGATAAAACCAACATCTATAAGCAGAGAGCAAAACAAAGGCTTAAGGATAAAGTGAGCGCCTACAAGGAAAGAATAAGAATCATTAAGTTATAGCAGGCAGACTCAGACCAGAGAAACATCGTACCTATGGGCTAAGAGCAGATCACTGCATGCAGGCAAAGTCTCTAGGAGACCGTTCCATAATACCGCAGGCAGCTTATTCCATTGCTGAATTATTCTTATAGACAGAAACTTGACAAAAATTGATGCCCTGTGTATTTCAGGTGTGGCTTATTTTCCTGCCTCAGAGGACAAGGTAGACAAATATTGCTGCTCTTCTGATCTCCAGAGGGGTAGCTGTGTCAGTCTCCCACAGCACCCCCTCCCAAACCCCCCCCCACCCATAACAAAATAAGTCTCGTGGTACCTAAAAAGCTAATAAATAATTTTATTCATTTATTTTACTTAGGAACAGTTGCTCATGAAACATCCCAAAGCCATTACAATAAAAACATAGCCATAAAAATATACAGAAAACCGGTTTCGGATCAGGACAGATACAGAACAGGGTGGGGTAAATATCTCCACTTAAAAGGCTTGTTGAAATAAGGAGGTCTTCAACAGCTGCTGAAAAGAAAACAGAGATGATATTTGTGTGATATATTATGGGATGGAGTTTTTAAGGTTAGGTGCTGTCACATTAAAGGCACGATTCCTACACCATACGGAATGAACCTCCTGATGAGATGGTATCTGCCGGAGGGCCTCTCAGGTATACAAAAGATGAGGTGGTATTTTAGATATCCTGGTCCCAAGTTGTACAGGGCATTGTTCAGGGAAGTTTTTAATGTGTGACATTTTAGTGTATTTTTTGACTTTGTTGGAAGCTGCCCAGAGTGGTGGGGAAACCCAGCCAGATGGGTGGGGTACAAATAAATTATTATTATTATTATTATTATTATTATTATTATTATTATTATTAGAACCAGCATCTTGAACTGAGCTCAGTAACGAACTGGTGGCATTGAGCAGTCAAGCCCACTTGCCCACAAAAGCTTATGCTGTATAATTAATTTGTTAGATGCCTCAAGACTCTTGTTGTTTTCCTGCTCTTCCGAGATTCTTTTAAAGCTCAGAACTGCCTCAAACCTTTTCTGCAGGCGAAACACACACTGTTCCTTTAGGACCCTGGAGTAAGATCCTACACACAGTTGTGGAAGGGTTTCCCCACGCTACAGAAGGCATAAGTGCCCAGAAGGCGGAATGCCATGATCATCAAGTTTCTCACATGGGGAAAGAATAACAACATTTCTGAAGCACGTAAAAACCAGAACGCTGTAGAATGTAAAAAATTAACCGAATTCTGACTGCAAGCGTGCAGTCAAAATAAATAGGCCGCATTTCCTTTGTTCAGAGACTACCAACGGCAGCAGCTGCCAGCTGGTAAGTACTTGCCTAGGTAGTTCTCCTTCACGCATGGCTGTTCCTATTTCTCTATGCAACTGCATATGCAGATCCATTATCACATGGAGGAGGGGGGGAAGTGAGAACTGGGATTGGGAAATGGTTTCTCCTAGAAGCTCAGCCAGTTCTTTGATTTGGGGAACCTGTCTATGATCAGATTTGAAAGCCACAGGGAGAGAGCATGCTTTGAACGCAAGCAGGTGTCCAATACAAATCCTAAACTGCTCCCCTTCTCAGTCTAGTTTTCCTCCATCAGTTTGGCTTTAATTTTTGACTGCTTTGTCTGTCTTTGGTACTTTTCATACCATTAGCCACCTTGAACTTGAAAATGTTTAAATCTGGCAGTCCCTTATAGAAAATAAAGAAATCAAATCTGAAGTAGGCTTAGACACATATTGTAAAGATCGTATCAGCTGCAACCACAATCTCTTCTTTCACGTTTTGTATGAAGTGTGACGGCTGACTCCAGTAACCATGAGAGCCTTTGTGATAAGCCTTACATGGTAAAATAGTTATATATCCGCCCATTATTGCTAGTAATTAAGGGTGATGGAGGCAATTTTTGTCTTTGCGTTGAAGAGCAGCACTACGCACATGCGCTGTGGGTTTCTCCCCTACTAAACAAGTGGATTCAACACATCTAATTCTTTCTCTCTGACCCACCTTGTATGGCCAGATTCTTGCATTTACGTCAGTTAAAATTACGGACAATAGGGTAACAGCTTCACATCCCATCAGCTCCTTTTAGTATTGCCGTTAGTATTTTTTGAGCAGGTGCACAGTGATGAATAGTGGCTGATTATCCATGTTTGAAGTGTCTTGAAGCAAACAATACTGTAATTGGCTTAGTAGATTCCTTTCAGGGAGCACTGCAGCTGCCCACTAAAGTGAAGTCCAATGTTTTCTTAGGAATGCAGTAAATAAAGATGCTAGCCGGTTTGTCATCTTGTATCCCGGTTAGGCGGCATGAAGCTATCTGCTCAGTAGCTTACATTTGTAATTACCAAAACGCCCATCCTTAAAACTGGCAGAATATGCAAAGCAAGAACACATGAACGTCTTGAGGTCTCATAAGGCAGGGGTTGGCAAGGTTTACCTCGCCTGGGCCGGTTCACTCCAGCAGAGATCCCTCCATGGGCTGGATCGCGCACGTGCGGCCGCGATTTCCGGCGTCTGCACAGATGCAATTTCCAGCACCGTGGAAGCGAGTCCCCGCTCTGTGCCGGTTTAGCGCAGCGCATGGGGATTCGCCAAGCAGGCAGCTCGTTTCGGGGGCGGCTTGGGGGCTGGTTAAATGACCCCCGTGGGCCGCTTGTGGCCCATGGGCCTTAGGTTGCCTACCCCATCATAAGGAATGCAGTGCATCTCTATATGCTCTGCATTTGGGAGCCACACTGCATTTTCTTTGAAATCTTTACTGCAGGAACAAGGCTGGAGAGCAGTCTTCTGCCTTTAACACAATAGAGATCCTAGGAACTGGGAGAATCAGCAGGGTTTGGCCGTGTCCCAGACTGCAAGTCAAGAATCAAGCCTCCCCTGTCTACGTAGCCTCACCTCTCTATCTGGGGACCTGATTCTTAGGCATGCTAAAGGATGGTGAAACTCTACAAATTGGTTTCTGTAGTAGTAATAACTTCCATCTTCACACGTATAGCACTCAGGATGTTCTCCATTTACATCTTCATCTGAAGATAGCAGGCGTCTTCCTGTGGACAACTTGTGGCCTTGCAACTTCTATCAGCCCCAGTCAGCATGGTCAATGGTCAGTGATTATGTCAGTTGTAGGCAAATAATGTCCGGGAGGGCCAAAAAATTCTCCTGCCCTGACTTAGGCAAAGTGCTGATTAAGTGAGGATTTCTAGCTGAGCTGCAGGGCAGGAGTGAATGTGAAGATGAGAGACCTATTCACTCAACTGGAGAACTTCAAAATACTGCATGGAAGGTAGCAGGAAATGAAGCTCCTTACTCATTCCTCCCAACCTTGCTGGAAACACCAAAAATCTTCTTTCCTTCGTCACTCCATTAATGGCTACAGTGACCTGAAACACAAACCAGGATGACAAACGAGACACGAGCCTGAGAGATTCATGATGGGCTCTCATGCCTCTAATTTCTTTTAAAAGCAAATAACTGAACATGCTATTTATACTGTTAGGAAAGCTTAGCCTTCACTCTCCCAATGTGCACGAGGTGGTATTTCTTGGAAAGAAGGGTGAATGGGCAAAGATGCTCAGTTATTCTACCAGATAGGAAGAAAATAGGGCACATAAATGGAATTACAACTTCTCACCTCATTTACGGGTTCCTTTCTTCACCAGCCTCCGATACTTGTGCATATTGCAGCAGGTGGTTTAGGCCAAATTAGATTAGATGGTGGTGATCTGCTGGTAGTAGTAATTATTTCCTATTTTTCTAAATAAAAAAAAACTGTCATGGGAGCCCTGTACCTTATTATATGAGACAAAGATGGATACCCTGTTGGATCAATCCATCAACCTCTGATGGATTATTTAGATGATGTCACACTGCGTATGTCCAAAGAACAGCTCCCACAAAAAACGTCCCTGCGTAGTCAAAGCAATCTCAGCCTTTTGCTGCTTCTTGAGACCTTCAGCATTCCCCTGAGTTTGGCTCTTACTTCCATTCTTCCAGCTGAGTCAGGGCTGATGGGATTCAAAGCCTTTCCTTCAGCAACTGAAAAGCCATGGCAGCCCAGGGCCAAAGGTGCTATCTTCTCTTAGCTCAAACTGGAGTCAGGTGTTCCCTGGATGATACGTTTTCCAATTGCTTTGTTGACTTTGGCTCCACCAACTCCCCACTTTCCTTGTCACACAGGATCAGAAAGCCAAGACGCCTGGCAGCTTGTTTTCCCAACTGTCACATTTCATTAGCCTCTCCAATTCCCATAGCTTCTTTAGCCATTCCCAGAGCTTGTTGCTTCTGAGCATGCTCATTAGTGTTGGCAAGTTGAGAGCTCCAGGAATTCTTCTCCATCTGCCTCAGACCTATTTTTTCAGCAAACCCCTGGAGAGGTATAAACAGAATGCCAGCCGGTTTTAAATCAGCTTTGTTGCTATTGCAAAAGTAAGCAGGAATCCCAAGGAGCCCAAGGGATGCATTATTAAAGGGCTAGTGCAGTCACTTTCCAGAATAGCTGTTCAAAGTAATCGTGGGGAGGTGGAGGAGAGAGGCAGACACTCTTCAACTTGCTCTTCACTGACAGGGAACATGGCATACCCACAAAACGTTTTCTAAATATGAGGTACAGTGGTACCTCGCAAGACGAATGCCTCGCAAGACAAAAAACTCGCTAGACGAAAGGGTTTTTTGTTTTTTGAGCTGCTTCGCGAGACGATTTTCCCTATGGGCTTGCTTCGCAAGACGGAAACGTCTTGCAAGTTTGTTTCCTTTTTCTTAACACCGTTAATACAGTTGCAACTTGACTTCGAGGAGCAACTCATAGAACGCGGCGTGGTAGCCTTTTTCGAGGTTTTTAAAGACTTTGGTGATTTTTGAAGCTT